AAAAGTACATACTGAGTGACTGATACCATTTTTGTCACTTGTTGGCTCGCATTGAGTTCGCAGTTTTAACGTACATGTTCGCTTTAACTTATTTTCAAGATCTGAGGTATCTGTTGTTGCTTTTAGTGTGGCTATCAATGTCACGCAACATGACACTCAAACTCACATTAGAGACATTTAACACTGAATAAAGCACATAATCAGTACCTAAGATTATCAATGTCATAGTTTGTATGTTGTTCCAACCGCGACGTCACTGAAATAGAAACCGTTTCTAAAATAGAAACTTGGGGTTAGGACAAAAACTCTGATTGACATGGAAAAGATCGCGTGTTGTGACGTTTGCGTATGTGGTTAGTGACACGGTGTCAGTGTTTGTTAAACATGGTGAACCAACTCCAGTGATCTGATGATTGCTAAACTCAACTCAAACACTCTCAAAGATCATTGCTGCGTCCCAATGTGCCTACTTACACTACGCCCTTAAAGTACGTACTCCTTTGGTGAAGAAAAAGTACACGCTTTTGAGTGTGCAGTAGAAAAGTAGGCAAGCTTTGGGACAAACTCTCATGTCATATAATTGTGTCTTTAACGGAGCGCTCTGTCGCATAATTACACACACCCTGTCACTGTAAACTGGCCTGTCAATCATCTTGTCACAGTTAACATCCTCCACATTTCATTTCGTATAACTTCCTACCGTATCGGAGAGAAATGAAGAGGTACGTTGATCTGCGAGCCGCGGGTCTTTATGCAGAGAACTCTGCTCAGATTTTCTGCATAATAATGCATTTAAAAGTTAACGACCAAATGCATGTTTATAAAACTTTACATTGTTGTTGCAGATGAAATATAACACAAATAACGTTAAATAAATATTTTTTTAGCAGGTTAAATGTTGATTATTAGTAACTCAAACCCGTTTATCTAAACCTCTCTACTTAACCTTATGCTGCGTTCAAGTCCTCTTGGGACGTTCGTACTTACGAGTTGACAAGTCGTAATTACGACGTCAGGTGCGTTCAAGTCAGTTTAGTCGGCACAAGATGGCGGTGTACCTTCTTTTAATAAATTACAAGAAAATACAACAGGGTCTGTTAACTCTGCTTATAGAAAATGAAGAGCAAAGAATTCACATCAGGTGTGTTATGATAGCATTTTTTTACTTGGATTTCATTAACTATCTGCGTAACAATAACACGACCAATTTAAGTTTATAGGACAACTAAACTATCAATTTAAACAAAAATTTACCGTCAGCTACAGACGTTACATCCATCGATTCCGCCATGTTTCTCATTGACACGCCCCCAACTCGGAAACTCGGGGCTTAAAGAAAATTTCGAGTTTCCCACTCAATTTTCAGTCTTGCATTTTGTGTCTGTGTGAGTGCAGAAATGTTAAATATATGTTAAATATGTGTTTATGCTGCGTTCAAGTCCTCCTGGGACGTTCGTACTTACGAGTTGACAAGTCGTAATTATGACGTCAGGTGCGTTCAAGTCAGTTTAGTCGGCACAAGATGGCGGTGTACCTTCTTTTAATAAATTACAAGAAAATACAACAGGGTCTGTTAACTCTGCTTATAGAAAATGAAGAGCAAAGAATTCGCATCAGGTGTGTTTTGCGTTTTTAATATTTTTTTTTAGACTAGGATCCCAGTATAACTGATTTTCAGCATCAACAAATGCTAAAATACAGAGATTAAAAAAAGCTGTTAGCTAAATGCAACATGCAACAAGGCAAATCAAAAGATTTTTCACCTATAGGTGCAAAAATTATAGCATTTTGTACTTGGATTTCATTAACTAGCTGCGTAACAAGAACATGACCCATTTAAGTTTATAGGACAACTAAACTATCAATTTAAACAAAAATTTACCGTCAGCTACAGACGTTACATCCATCGATTCCGCCATGTTTCTCATTGACACGCCCCCAACTCGGAAACTCGGGGCTTAAAGAAAATTTCGATTTTCCCACTCGTAATAACGACTTTGTGGTGGCGTTCATGTGCGTTCAACTCGTAAATACGATCTATCTGACATGAACGCACCATTAGGTCGCGCATATCCGCCATGTTTGTAGTTTTTAATGCTTTTTATTCGTGTTTGTAGTTCTCAACCGAATCATTCGCCAAAGGATTAGCATCATTCGCACAATCGCAATGGATTGTGGGTAATATTAGCCATCATAGTGTGCACGGATCCACACTTCAGTAATCGACCTGAAATAGCAGACCATAAGGGGACTTCTGGCTTACTCTATTAAGCATAATATGCTTTGGGACACACTTATTCTAATCTCACGTACTATTTAGGATGGATAGGATGAACATTGGGACGCAGGGCATGTCTCCATACACACTGATAAACTACTAAAAGTCACATTCAACACTTCTACAATGGTGTTTCGAGCTGATCTTTGAAGCACTTTTTTTGAGCAAAATTGACAGTTTTCAAATTTCTTGATTTCATATGTTGTTGGTGAATAAGCATGTTTGTCATTGGTCCAGAATAATAAGATCGAGACTCGGAGCAACCAGCCGAGGCTCATGAGTTCCTCACTGGTCACTAGATCATATGATTGGTTCCAAATGCTTATAATGGAATGGTAATTTTTGGCCCACAATCGGTTCTCAAGAGGGTGGGACTCTTCAGCAACCCATCAAACTGGCTGGCAGAATTTGGAGCAGCTGTTTCATATCAATCTGATGAAAAGGATTTAGGGAATCCCATGCTGGATTGGGGAAACTGCTCTCCTCCGCTAACAAACTACATGTTAAGGAGCTGATTTCCCTGTCGATTTGCTGAGTTTTTTTTTTTTTAGGCCCACAGTAGACCAATGCGATCCAGCTTGAGATCTGAAGCGTTAGAGGCTTACGTGGCGATAATGAGAGTGCTGCTGATTGAAATCTCTGAGTGAATCTCTAATGTTACCACACTAAAAGAATGCCTTTTAACTGGTCTTGCTCCTAGTAATGTGAACATGATCAGTCCGGTATTCTTACTACTTTGCAGTAGAATGCTGTGTGTGATACGCAGTAGACAGTGAATGTTGTTTGACAGTTTCACCAGCAATTTGTGGAGAACATCTGAAACAAACTCCATCCTATCTGCTGTGCGCTTTGCTTCTGGACACATTCAAAACATAGCATATTAGAATGATTTCTGAAGATCATGTGACACTGAAGACTAGAGTAATGATGCTGAAAATTCAGCTTTTACAGAATGTGCAAGATGATAATAATTTTGACAAAATAAGAGAGATCATAAAAATGCATGCTACTTTTTATTTAGTATTGTCCTGAATGAGCAATTTCACATAACAAATATTTACTTTTTAGTCCACAAGACAAAATAAGATTTGAATTTACACAAATTAACCTTTTCAAAAGTTTACAAAAGTTGTTTCCTTATACTGTGTCTCGTTACCTGGATGATCAACAACCTATGGAAGCCCATTTCTGCCACTGAATAAAAAATAAAACATGTTGATTGTGATTTTTTTAAATCTCACAATTCTGGCTTTTTTTTCACAGAATTGCGTGATATAAACTTGCAATTCTTACTTTTTTCTCAATCCTGATTTCTTTTCTCAGAATTGTGAGATATAAAGTACAATTCTGAGGAAACAAAGACTTTCTTATAATTTCTTACAATTGCGAGTTTATATCTGACAATTCTGACTTTATAACTTGCAGTTGCACGTTTTTAAATCTCACAATTCTGACTTTTTTCATGCAATTGCAATTTTATATCTCGCAATTCTGACTTTTTTCATGCAATTGCAATTTTATATCTCGCAACTCTGACTTTTTTCATGCAATTGCAATTTTATATCTCACAATTCTGACTTTTTTCACAAAATTGCGTGATAATAAACTTGCAATTCTGACTTTTTTCTCAATTCTGACTACTTTTCTCAGAAATTTCAGATATAAACTTCAATTATGAGGAAACAAAGACTTTTATTTTCTTACAATTGCGAGTTTATATCTGACAATTCTGACTTTATAACTTGCAGTTGCACGTTTAAATCTTGCAGTTCTGACTTTATAACTCACACTTGCGAGTTTATTTCTCGCAATTTTGAGACACATGTCAGAATTGCGAGATGTACAATCAGTTGCGAGAAAAAAGTCAGAATTGTGAGATAAAAAGCTGCAATTACTTTTTTTTTTATTCAGTGGCGGAAAGGGGCTTCCATAAAAACCTGATTAGTTAAACTACCTGCTGTTCTTAAGAAAAATCCTCCAGGTCTTGCACATTCTTTGCCTTTCTGCATATTTGAACCCTTTACAACAGTGATCCATCCATCTTTTCACAATGAGGACACCTGGTTGACTCAACTATTATAAATAACTATTACAAAAGCTGCAAACATTCACTGATGATTCTTGATGCAGTAAGAGCTGAACTTCTTCAGATAGACGATCAGGGTAATTTTTTTTGGTCTTCTGGGAAAGTATTTTAAACACATTAGAAAAATTAGTAAAAACGCACACATCAAATTTACGCAACTACAACAGTAGACTCAACAGTTGTGATTCTATAGAAAATAAGGCCTTAAGGTTTAGGGATTCTTTATATCACAAACTCTGTGAGCAGTAATAATACTGATGATGCCACTCGAGTGTTTTTGTAATAATTCCCTCTTATCCTCAGCGTCGGAGGCTGCCATCCGCCAACAGTGCCGACCCAGAAGCTCAGAGAGAGAAAGCCGGCGCTAAGCAAGCGGAGAGTACGCTGAGCCTGAAGGCAGAAGAGGTCAGTGATTCTGAGTCTACAGCTGATGGGGTTTCCATTACTTTATCCAAACGCTGCCGATGTTAGGAATTATTTGAAGATAGCAGGCTGATGTGATGTGCAGGCTGAACTCTTTGTTCTTGGCTGCTCCTGACATATTTGATATTGAACAGCGTGTTTTATTGACTCTCCTGCACAGATGAAAGTGCTGAGGAGGGCACAGGAGGAGTATGACAGGAGGGCTGGATTTGTTCGGATCTTTCCTACTCCGGACACCTTTACAGGTGAGAGAATGAAAGGACAGAACCACGGTTTTTATTAGGGCTGGGTTTTGACACACATTTCACGATTCGATTCGATTCTCATTCACAAGCTTTCGATTCGATTACCGATTCGATTCAATGTCAATTATTTTGGATATATATCAGGTATAGTACATGCCAAATTTTCTCAAAGAAAAAAAATCTCTCAACTAATGTAAAATATACATGAGAGTCAGTTGGTACTACATTACTATAATATTGAAGGTTA